ACTTTATATTTTGTGTTAGTTTCTATCTTTTTATTTAAAAGTATGTATGTCAGTGGTGGGTTCCTCCCAGTTCCGCCCGGTTCCGCTGAGCCGGTAGCGGTGATGATATGACATCACTGAACTGGTTCTGCCTCCCCTGCCCCCCTGCCCCCCAGAGTTATTCTTACCTTTCCCCCCCCCCCCCCCAATCTATTGGCTGCCTCCCGAGTCCCAGCTGATGGCTAGAAAGAAAAAAACTGTTTAAACTCTTGCCGCAGGGCTTCAAAGGGCTGCCCTACAGCTGATCAGTGTTAAAAGAAAACAAATGAGTAGATCGGTGCCTGCAAAAATAAATGGGTAGACCAGTGCCTGCAAAAATACATGAGTAGACCAGTGCCTCCAAAAACAAATGAGTAGACCGGTACAGCTCTGCAAGCAGTTAAAAGCCTGGTAGACCAGTACCTCTGCTAAATACTAAAGAATTGTCATATCACCATCAAGCCACCCCCACAAAATAAGCCATGCCCACAGAACCAGTAGTAAAAAAAATTAGATCCCACCCCTGATGTGTGTGTGTGTATATATATGAGTGTGTGTGTGTCTTATCATCAACAATCATTTTAAAAAGTTGCTTTGGTAATTAATTTTTTTGCATAATGGACTCCCAGAAGGGACTGCAGTTTTGTCCTTGAACTGGCAAATCAGATCTAACAAATTTCTCAAGTAGCATAATCTTCTCAATCTCAACTTTAAACTTGAATAATCTATAATAATAACTTGAAAAAAGTGAGAGAAATGAGAAAAAGACAGCACAAAGCATGCTATGATAGCATGGCATTACCACAACTATTCTGGATAAAATGGTACTGCTTGATTCTTTGTCCATTACTTTATTCTCAACAATAAAGACAGCTTTATGCTGTCTTTTTCTCATTTTTTTCAAGTTATAAAAAAAACAAAAACAAATGGACTCTGAGGAAGGTAATCTTGTCTTCTGATTCTACAGTATAAAGTCCAATTTCTATGTTTTGTCAAAAGCAAAACTGGAATGATCCATTTCAAAGAGACCTAGGGGATAGGTTTAAAGTTGGAGTCAAATTCTATTTATTTATTTTGTCGAGTACTTATTAGATAATATACATATAAGTATAAGCATGAATTGAATACATAAAATGAATACAAATAGAGGGAACATTAGAACAGGGACGGAAGGCACGCTGGTGCTCTTATGCACGGCCCTTACAGACCTCTTAGGAATGGGGTGAGGTCAACAGTAGACAGTCTAAGATTAAAGTTTTGGGGGTTTTGGGATGAAACCACAGAGTCAGGTAGTGCATTCCAGGCATTGACCACTCTGTTGCTGAAGTCCTATTTTCTGCAATCGAGTTTGGAGCGGTTCACTTTAAGTTTGTATCTATTGTGTGCTCGTGCATTGTTGTGGTTGAAGCTGAAGTAGTCATTGACAGGTAGGACATTATAGCAGATGATTTTATGAGCTACGCTTAGGTCATACTGAAGGCGGCATAGTTCTAAGTTTTCTAAACCCAAAATTTCAAGTCTGGTGGCATAATTCAATTTTAAATTGGTTTTAAAAGTTTGGGGTTTTAAATTTGTCAGGGCCAAAATTATTTAATTTGATTTTATTCTATTTTTAAATTTTGTATTGTATGTGTTTTTATTGTTTGGCTGTGCACCGCCCTGAGTCCTTCGGGAGTAGGGCGGTTTAGAAATCTAAATAAATAAATAAATAAATAAATAAATAAATAAATAAATAAATAAATAAATAAATAAATAAGGTATTTTGTTGTGAGCTCCATTGCATTCCATTGAAGATGCTTTCCACTACAGCCATTTGTTTTCCAGAAGCCTCCCCTCCCCACCAACCCCAACAATACTACATCACAATTGGGACATCTTGGAGAAAGAAAAAGTTGTCCACTAGGAAGATCAATGCCAGAGAGTTTTACCATTTCAAAGAAGAATAAGGAGATAAATGAGATTTTGTCTATCATCCCACCAATCTTAACATTTCCAAGAGAAAACTTGCATGCTAGTTTTATGTTTTACTTCTTCATTCAAAAAACCCAAGAAGTAGGAGTAAATATTTCTATTAAAAAGCTAAACCTAAGACCAACAACTTCATTTTTCCATTTTTGCTTTCTTTGTTTGGACTCTTTTAAAACTGTCAAGCTCCAGGATTTTCATTGGTTGCTGAGAACAGTATTAAAATAGATATTCAACAGAAACAACATTGCTATATTATCTGGCAATGACTTGCTCCTTAGCTAATATCTATCTATAATGCTTATTATTTTTTTTTAAAAAAAAAACATATGCTCTTTAGCAAAGTTCCTATTCAATTGTATTTGGAAGTACCCTCTTTGCAATTCAGCCTTTAATACAGTGATGAAATCCATTTTTTTTTACTACTGGTTCTGTGGGCGTGGCTTGGTGGGGTGGGGTGGGGTGGCTTGGTGGGCATGGCTTGGTGGGCATGGCAGGGGAAGGATACTGCAAGGTCTCCATTCCCACCCTACTCCAGGGGAAGGATATTGCAAAATCCCCATTCCCACTGCACCCCAGGGCCAGCCAGAGGTGGTATTTGCCGGTTCTCTGAACTACTCAAAATTTCCGCTACTGGTTCTCCAGAACCTGTCAGAACCTACTGGATTTCACCCCTGCTTTAATAGCTTCCTCTTTAGACTAATCAGAGTATTTAATAAAATCACCCATATTTAGTGCTCTTTTGGGGGCCAGAAATTAATAACAATTTCCTCTCATTTTTTTAGTCTTTAGTTTTGAAGACTTATTTCCAATAACATCATTCCCCCCCCTCCATTTTTTGTATCATTCCCATTCTATAAGTGATGGGAGTAGGATCATTTCACATAACATTTAGCACCTTGGATATGTAACAATTTTTTTGAGTAGCTGCTAATCCTTAAAGTGTGAACCAATTGTGTGTGTGTGTGTGTATATACACACATGCAAAGCTTGCAAAATGAAAAGAAAATGGAACGACAAATATTGTTCCTTATCAGTGTAAACATATGTCACATAATATAGAAGCTTAAAAGGTTTAGCTTGTATAAGTCCACTTTTCATGACATAGTCCAAAAACAAAAATAATAAACTAATATTGCTCTGTATTGCCACCTACAGTCAAAACATGGACAAGTAAATGGAGGAACAAAGCTGTCCAGAAATGCGTCTGAACTATTATGCTTTTAAATTGGAAACAATATGACATTTTCCTCCTCTGCTTGAGGTTCAGTTTTACCAATTAAAATTAACAGAGTCCTGTGAATAGGCTTTCCCTGCATGAGATGAGAACTAAAAAAAAATAACAAGTTGTAAATTGCAACCCATTGTAAATTTATTTAAGTCCATCTGAAATCAATAGAACATACCTCTCTATAGGCTGTAGCTGAATTTAAAGGCTGCATAAAGCCATGGTTTATTTGTATTGTTATTAGATGCATTACAATGTCTAGGTTTCCAAAAACCACAATGGATGGTTGGATTTAAAAAATTATGGCTTAAATTATGGGTTGTTTTAAAAATTATGTCTTAGTATGATATGCAGATTTGGTCTGTATTTGGTCTGTATTGCTATTAAGAGCAACCATTATATATGCATGTTATATAGATAGATATATGTGATAGATATATGAGAGATAGTTTGGTGTAATGGTTAAGGCACTGGGCTGAAAGCCAGGAGACTGTGAGTTCTAGTCCTGTTTTATGTGCAAAGCCTTGGGCCAGTTTTTCTCAGTCCTAGGAAGCAGGGCAGACTACTTCTGAAAATTTTGCCAAGAAAACTGCAGGGACTTCTCCAGGGAGTTGAAAGCACCCCCTCTCCCCCAAAATATGCATGTCCTATTAGACATGTGAGGCTTAATTCTGAATTGTTACAAATAAGAACCTAGGTTAGCTCACTTGACATAGTTTGTTTCTGATAAAAACTCTAGTTTTTGAAGCAGTGGTAAAATCCAATTTTTTTTTACTACCGGTTCTGTGGGTGTGGCTTGGGCATGATGTGGCTTGGTGGGTGTGGCAGGGGAAGGATATTGCAAAATCTCCATTCCCACCCCATTCCAGGGGAAGGATACTGCAAAATCTCTGTTCCCACCCCACTCCAGGGGAAGGATATTGCAAAATCTCCATTCCCACCCCACTCTGGGGCCAGCCAGAGGTGGTATTTGCTGGTTCTCTGAACTACTCAAATTTCTGCTACCAGTTCTCCAGAACCTGTCAGAACCTGCTGGATTTCATCCCTGTTTTGAAGTAAAATTCTTTGATGCATAAAGCCACACAATGTTGATGGCTATGATTGCAATCTCTGATAGAGAGGTTCCATCCTAAGCATTTGGTTTAAAATAGTTTGATTTTTTTTAAAGAAATAGTTGAGTAATTAGACAGCATTTTTAGTTAAATAATAGTATATCCTGAACAAAAATTTATTTTGATGTTTATTGTTTTCATGCCCTGAGTTTCTGTCTTCCTATTTGAAGACCTGTGTCTAGGAAGCTGAATGAAGTTGAATAGTGACCTGTCTGGTCTTCTGGAGCATTCTTACTAAACCACTTGTAACTTGTCAACCTGAATTTCACTCCATTGTTACTTAAAGGCAACACTATGGTGGTTTTTATTTTTAAAAAAATGACCATTGTCCCTTGAAAGCCATTGAAAAATAGATGTTTTTAGTTCCACTTTTTTCCCCCTCAGATCTTTTTCAGAATGTCTGATGAAGAGTTTGGCTTATTACCAAAAAATTATCAATAAACTCACATCCATCCCTTTCATTTCTTTTTTTTTTCTATATTTGTTTACATGTGTACATAGCAAACACTCTAGTCCTCAATCCTGACTTTCTTCTATTTATATTAAACTGCATAGTGTAGATGAATAGTAATAATAAATAAGAATAGTTAATTCGATGGATCATTTCTCTGAGTATATAGTAAGCATCTAATATTTTTATTTGAAAACATTCCAAAAAAAGAGAGGAAAAAATACCTTTGATGGAAAGCAGATTTAGATATATCAGTTGGAGGAAGTAAACCTAGTTTCAGCCTGTATATGTACTTTATACTTTTGCAGAGACAACATATTCCTCTTTTGCTAGACCTTTGAGTCTTTGTATGACTAAATCCAATTGCTGTCCCTATCAGTTGGCTTCCTACAAGTATTCCATGGTTACTTGGCTACCTAGGTTTGTTGCCATGCTTTCCATTCTAGGCCATCTAAAAAAAAGTCATACTATATTAACGAACATGTACATACAACAGAAAAAGTTTATGGTCCACTATCCTCTTTTGTAAAAAAATTCTTCCTGTTTCTTGATGTTCAAAGTGAGATGCTAACAAGTAGGAGCAATATTCAGTGTTCAGCAGTCAACTCCAAAGGCCCTTTCCCTCTAGGCCCATTCCCAAGACACATCTGGATCCACCACAACACTCCCCAGGACAGTTTGGATAAAGCTTGCCATGAGATCTGGAAGAGAGTCCAAGGCCTCCCTGAGGAACTACAGCCCAAATCTTCATCACCTCTTCTGCAGGTTAGCTGTCACCCTATCACCTCTTCAGAGGCTCTACAAGAAGACAGCAGTAGTACTCACAACAGTTCTCAAAAGGAGTGAGTGTTTTTGTTATTTTTTTTAAAAAAATGTCTTTCTTTATAAAATGAGAATAGGCTTCTTTCCAAATATATAGAAGGTTTCCCTATCTAGAGATCTTATACAATGACTGAATTGAAAAAAGAGGCATACATTGTTATAAAACCCTAAACATTTAGAACAATTAAGGGCCTGAAAGGATTTCACTTAGTATGTGTCTACAATAGTTGGAGCAGACAGTTGAATAACAATCCCTTCAGGGTTTAACCTGGAACCTCAACTTATAAACCTTTTAAAGAATGACTAAATTGAATAGTAAATAAACAGTCATGGTGAAAGTAATTCAGAATACCCATTGTAGAGCCAGTTTGGCCTAGTAGTTAAGGAACCAGAGTAGATATCAGGAGATGGTGTTCTAGTCTAACCCTAGGCATGAATACTGGCTGCGTGACTTTAAGCCAATAATGAGATGGTGAGTTCTAGTTCTGTCGTAGACATGAAAGCTGGATGGGTGACATTGGACCAGTAATTTCCTGTAGTCCAACTCATCTCAGAGGGTTGTTGTGGAGAAAAATAGGAGGAGGAAAGAGTATAAGCTATGTTTGCCTCCTTGAATTATTTAAAAATAATAATGGTGGGATAAAAATACCAAATTCTAAACAATCCAATATTATTATTTCATTTAGGGAAAAATAGGATGCAGGTAAACCTTTTAAAGGGGCTTTTACAATAATGATAAACAGTGGATGCAATAAATCAGAACACATAGCTTAAAATCTGAATATTTCACAATCACTTTTTCTCTTGCCTACCCACCCAGAAGAAATACTTTAACAAAGTGTAGACATTCACACCCAAATAGAGAATGATCTTGATAAAAGTGCCCCAACTGTAAAATAGTCTCCCTGTTCAGTTACAGTTGATGTGGAATCTTCTTAGCTTTTAGTGTCAGCTACAAAGCTATTTATTTGACCAAGCTATTGGTTGAACTTACATTTGTGGTCATTTAGTATATTGCTGTTGTTTTTATGATGCTATTTTTTAGGCTTTAAGTAGTGTGATTTTTAACCATTTTATTGGTTCTGTTCTACTGTATGTCATTTGGGGATTACTTTTAATGGAAAGTGGGAGAATGCTTTTATAATGAATAAAATAAAAATAACATTAAACACCACTCAAGAAAATCTAGGGAAAACAAATAGGCCACTGAATTTATAGGCAATCCTGATATACTGAGAATGGTTTCTTGTTTAAAAGAGAAGCATCTCATACATCTTTCATTTTTTAGCGTTTGAATAGATTTTGGAATCTCTCTACCAAAAATTCCCCCAACAATCAAATGAGTAGTAGAAAATTTATCTCCCCAACTTTTTCCTAACACTGGGGGGGGGGGGGGGGGGGAATCACTGCACAAGTGTGTCTGTATGTGTGTTCAATTCAGATTGATAATTTTGATTTAAATTTCCTCTGGAATCATGGAAAAACCAATGTATTTTACTAATGGAAAGGATTTTTTTAAAAAAATTACATTTTTTCTGTCTCTTCTAATGTAATGTGCATTCCACACAACTTGCAAATGCTTTCACAGCAGTTTACAGGCTCATGTTAACATAAATCCATGTCTGAGATTATGCAGCCAGCTAGAGGATGCATCAGCAACAGCTCTTAAATTAAAAAAGAAGCAAAACAAGGCTTTCATAGAGGAAAATGAAATGAAACTTATAGAGGGGCATTACAAGGAATATCTGAGGAGGCAGGCAGAAATTTTGTCATAATTCCAACAAAATGGATATTTTTGAGCACAATCATCAAGCAAAAAATAGTATGAATAATTTGTAAGTGAGCAATTAAACAGAAACAGGTGGAGTTATCCTGCTAAACAGGATGTTGAACGCTAATAGTGTGTGATGTACACTTCAGTAGAATCAGTCAACTGCCTTGGACAATTGATTGGGCAATGAATTATTAAATCATTTCTGCTATACATTTTTACTATCTAGGAGGAGGAAATGTCCCATCAGATCTTCTGCCTTTATGCCAAAGTAACTAAACCAGTCTTGGAGTGGGCAAAAATAAAACTTGATGTTTTACCCAGGCACAAATAGACTAGAATTTGAGGAGAGTTTAATATTGTTTTGGTTTAAAGAATATATCAAATTCTTTCTAAGTCCATATGTGAAATAAATTGTAGCTTTCCTTTAACGATTTCCAGATTTTTATGATGCAATTTCTGACTCCCAAAACACATTTATCTACCCTTGAATATGATCATCTAAGCATTAGGGAATTGCATAGTTTAAAGGTAAAGGTAAAGGTTCCCCTCGCAGTTTATTAAGAACAACAGGCTGCAACATTACATATATTCTAATATATAGGTATGGGAATGGATAAAATGCGTCCAAACATATTTTACAAATGTTTTGGAGACTTCCCTTATATGAAAAGCAGTGTGGAAATACTGATGATCATTAAAGCGAAGAAAGTATTTTTTCACCCAAAACAGCAACAAAACTATATTGAATTTTCCTCTTCCTATTTAATTTAAGTTGTACCTTTTAGCTACTGATATAGATTAGATACGTATATTTGGAAGTATAGATTGTGGTAACACCATGATTAAAAATATATCAATCAATTTTTAAATGGTATTTGTGTTACTTTGTATGGAAGGCTGAGTCAACCTTGAGCCTGGTGAGATTTGAACTTGCAATAATTGCAGGCAGCTGGCAGCTAAGTGCTACTTAACAGCACTTTAGTCCGCTGCGCCACCAAGGCTCCTATAGGTGTTTCCCCCCACAATCATTCTTATGGAATTTATGGGTGCTTAAAGATATGCGTGTGTTATTTTTCAGTTAGGAAACATTTTGAAATGGATGCTTATAAGACTTTAAGTTTGGTAATTGTTGACATTATTTCATTTTGGCATACCATACCATGGAATTGGGGAAAATGTTTATTGAATTTCCTACATATATAGTGTTTGCATGTAGGTTTGTATGTTTTTTTTTATTTAATTTTTGTTTTTTCTTCTTTTTCTTTTCGTATTTTTTTTTCTGTTATTGATCCTTTTTTTTTTATTGAAGGTTTGTATGTTTATGGAGATTCTCAATCATTGGTTATCCCAAAGCTGCTTTTTTTCCAAAAGGCAACTGGCCTTTCTTTTCTTTTTTTTTTCCTCCTTTGAAAACGTTCAGCTTCTCACCCCAGGAGCTTCTTCATTCATTCCCCACCATTCAGTTAGAACCGAAGAAGCTTCTGGGATGAGAAGCTGAACGTTTTCAAAGAGAAAACAAAGAGAAAATCCAGTAGCCTTTTGGGAAAAAAGCACCTTTGGAACAGTGTTTAAATATGTTTTTTTTTTCCTTTCCACTTTGTATTTTTTTAAAAAAAGTCTTCATGAAAATACATTCTTGAATGAGTTCTTCTCTAATATGCACATTTTTTTCCAAGCAATTTGCTCTTCTTATTGGACTTTCACAGACCTTTCCCATAATGTGTGCACTTTATATTTTTTTAATGAAAGCATTGCACCGCAGAATTTGGAGAAGTGTGAAAAATGAAGACATTTGCATTCCACTTTGTACATTAGCTCAGAAAGTCTAACATTTATATTGAAAAGTGACCCAAACAAATTTCTCCCCTAACCCTAATGATTAGAGATGCTGCTCTTTTGGCAACAGCTGCCATCAGCTTATCTAAAAGCAGAACTGAATAATTCAAAAACTGTGTAGCTGTTTAGCAAAATGAAATCATAGCCATCTGCCTCAGGTGAGCCTGCTTAATTCTCTAGAGGCCAGGAGTATGCATGTTATTCCCAACACGTTGGAGAAACGATAAAATATGAATGCAATAAGCAATAATGCAAGTGAAGACTGAAACATGTACAGCTTAGGGGAAGAGGATCTATGTTCTTTGTGCAAATTCCTCAGTCCAATTCCTGCCAACTCCAGGTCAAAATCAGAAATATTTCTGTTCTGCCAAGCTACTATTGTAGTCATAAAAGCAGAAAATGCAGCACTAAAAATTTGCCATATGTAAGGCAGTTCTGAGTTCTATTCTACTTGGGTGACTTTGGCCAATCACAGGAGACTGTGAGTTCCAGCCCCACCTTAGGCATGAAAGCCATCTGAAGGACTTTGGGCCAATTACCGTATTTTTCAGAGTATAAGACGCTCCGGACTATAAGACGTGCCTACCTTTTTTGGTGAGGAAAACAAGAAAAAGAAATCTGCCTCTGCCTCCCAGCAATATTGCCTCATTGCAGCAAACAAAAAATAGCCTGCTTTACTTTCATTTTCATTTTCAGCATAGCTTGATTAGCACAAGAAAAAAAAAATCTGCTCCCAGTAATTTACCTCCTTGCAGCAAGCAGCAGAGGCCCGTGCAAAACAGCTGAGAGTCTGGAGGCATCCAACATACAATCAACATGTGCTAATTAGACTGTGCAGAAACTGAAATGGGCTGTTTCTTCTTGCTGCTTGCTGGGAGGCAGAGGCCAAAAAGTGAGGGCCAGTGGGTGGGCGGGGCTACATTTGGTGTATAAGATGCACCTAAATTTTCATCCCCTTTTAGGGTGGGAAAAGGTGCACCTTATATTCCAAAAAATATGGTAGACAGTAAATTGTAGTCCTGTTGTAGGCATAAAAACTGGTTCAGTGACTTTGGGGCACACCTCTCTCCTAGCTCAATTCACTTCACAGGATGGGTTTGGACAATTCACTGTGGCCAACTTGTCATTGCTTTCTCACTGCAGCCAACTTGCCAAGGTCATTTTGCCACAGGCAAATGTAAGTCACGTAACCATTTCGTCACCATCTCACGTGGCCATCTAGACAACTCACTGCAGGGCAATCCATACAGGATAACTCAAAGCGATAAATGTTATTCAGCACTGTTTTGTCTACATTATTTCCATTTTTGTCAATAGAAATAATGTCATAACACAGTGGCAGATAATATTTATTGTGTAGTTCTGACCCAGCCTTCATAAGTAATGATAAGCCACTTCCTCATGAGTAAA